TTTAATAAACAAGCGAACAATTCCACCTTTCGCATTATTGCGTAAACTTGACAGCGCGTCAGGCAAATAGGCGGGCTCCATCCCCGGCCTCTAGCGACTGTGGAAGTCGCTACAACAGCTCTTAATCAGTGTTATTCCAATGACATCACTAAAACACGTTTAGGTTTCATCAGTATTTTAACATGGATTCAACATATATTCTGCTCTGAGGTTGCAGTCTTGAAACTTTAATTCAAAGTCATGGTGCTGTCTGAGATTAAACCAAACTGACAGGTGGAGCAAATTCATCGCTGTGAAGGCTTTTCTGTAAATCACGTGACTCCTCCCTAAACTGTCGGTTGTTCCCTGCAGACAGTGAAACACTGACCAAACTGTCTCTGGTAAACAGACGAGTTTTAATCTACATCATCTGTCTTGTATCAACGAAAGGAGTTTGAGGAAGAAACTAAGAAACTGAAAAAGAAAAGAAAGACATGGAGTTAAAATCGGTGATATCGCCGTTTCTCTTACTCTGTTTGCTGGAACATCTGGACTGTACAGGTAAGCCGAGTGTACCTATGTGAATAAATCTGTCACCGAAGGACAGGTAACAGGGAGAGATTGCTGGAGTTTTAGAAGTTACTGTACTGACACTGTGTATGAGTCTTTATTTCCTCGGGAGAGCAAAAAAGTTTCCGCTCTGGTTCATTTCACGGTCGTTGCTTTCAGAGTCAGTGTGAGGAAATGTAGGTACACAGGTAATAGTGACAAGGGAGTGGAAATGGATTTAAATATTAGACTACATTTAAAAAACTCTCGGCCCTTTTCAGTTTGAACTTTGACGGTACCTTCATGTAATGGTGGTGACGCTAGAGACAAACCTCGGCTCACCTGTGTGAGGAGCAAGTAAGGAGCTGCTGTAACAGTAAACTTTAACAAACGTCTAAACAATAACAGAGTGGATTAGATTAATAGTAAAGATATTTTTCTTTTTCCTGTTAAAACACGGCGTGAGACTAAAAGAGTGTAAGTCAGTAAACAGACTTAAGGGAGGATATTTCCATGTGCGTAATGATGGAGTCGCTGTGCACGACACAAAGATGAAGGGTAATGTTTGATTAGACCTGACTGTAAACCGGGTCTTATCGATATTGAGACTTTTACTGATGATGTGATCGTCTGAGAGAGAAATATATTCCAAGCTAAATATTCGATTACTTCAAGAACCTCGTTTCCTCTTCCATTTAGTTTCATTTTAACTTTGACGTCTCATTCATGTAAAGGCGGTGACGCTCGAAAGAAACCTGAGCTTACCTGTGGGAGGGGCGTGCATAGAGCAGGTGAGGAACTTCCGTTCCTGATAGAAACGTCACATTTAACAAACCTCTGTGTTTAGCTGTAGAACAGACTTTATTTTTCTTTCTCTCAGTATACCGTGTTAGACACAAAGAGCAGTGAGCGAGCCACTCGGAGGGGGGGCATTGTTGTAATTAAACAAGACTGGAGATTAATTTGTGATAACAGGACCTAACTGTATATTCCTTAACATCAACAATAAAACACGATCAAGTTTATACATGAAACTCTCAATAGATCTGCGTATTAATTAAGTTTTACATTTTACAGTTATTTCAAATGATTTTGTTGAGAAAGATATTTTAGTAAGATTTAAGATCTCAAATAAATCAGATGGCAACTTTTTCTGGAATTTTAAGAAAGAAAAAGTGTTTTTGTTTTCATAATTGTGTCAGTTGGGAAGAAAAAAAAAACCTTTGTAGAAATATTAAGAAATCAAAAACTTAAATCACCGAAACTTTTAATCTTTGCATCTTGCTCTGGGTGCTGTTTGTATTGTAACCTGTAACGCTGAACCACAGTTTATCTTGCTAACATCATTGTCTATCC